GACTTCATGAAGTCACAGATTAAAATAGACAACAAAGCACGAGATGCTTTGTCCACATAAAAACTCTCCATTCCCCTTGACTAGATTATACAGAAAATCAAGATTAATTGCCTTGGGGAAAAAATATAGGTAATTTTATCAATTAATTTATGTACTGGAAGCTCTCCAAGGCTAATAGCTTGGCAGAAAAAATAATTAAAGTACAAAGTTTGGAAAACAAATCGACAAACCCTAGAACCACATAGACATCAGAGTGACAGACATTTGTCATTGTTTTTACAGATACTCTGTGCATGTCCAGATCTCTCCTGCCTGAGGCCATATGTCATCTCCCAGGAGGTTTAATGAGTGGATTAATTGCCCTGAAGTTCATCAAACCACACTGAGCTCTCCTGCTGTGGCTCATTTTCCATCGCTCCACTAGTCAAACTGTGGTGCAGAACAACGGGCCAGTGCTACAGAAAAACTAGCTTTAGWTGTGGTCATGTTAAGAACTTCCCTTTTTTTGTCAAAGCTGCAGGATGAAGTCGTCCACGTGACTCACTGTGTGAATCTGAAGTCGTGTCATTTTAACCAAATATATCAACTTTACACAGACTGATTTATTAGTTCATCAATACACAATAYCCATGCTTCAATTTCTGCTTGAGCACACAGTGCAAGACAATTTATACAAACTAATAACTGTGCGCTTTCCTGCTGACCAGCATTCTGATGCAACAAAATGTGAAAAGTCATGACTATTTTTCACCTGTTGTCATTTATAAAGCCATTCCCTCCAGCTCAAGAAATTGATGGCGTTCCTAATTAATTGCAAAAGCTAATGCACCTTGTACAAACTGGGAGATTAACCAGTGCTCCAAAATAATTAAGATTTCTTATCTGGTGCATGTGTTGCAGCCATGGGAACATATTTTAGTTGGGAGTTGCTGTAATAGAACTGTCCTGCAGCAACACAGTGATGGACACACATCTTAAGGACACACTCAGGACTCCAAACAGAATAACACAAGTCAGGTATAGTTTAGTATCATCAGTGGTTTACACATTACTAATATCAACAGCAGTCAATGCAATGATGCAGTCCATATAACACTCACTTTTGTTTATATYGTCACCATTTACCCACTCTAAAGCCACGTTCATAAAACAAACACGTGAATGATCTGCAACATGAAGCTTCAACAATRAAGCTGCCTAAATGAAAGAAAGCAGGTGCCACATTTAATAAACAGATGAGTTTAAAGAATAAATGAAAAACTAAACCTGACTCAGAATGGAGAGACATGAAAAAACATGCATTTCAAAATATAAAGCATCTGCAGTTTCTCGCCACGTACAAAACACTCTTTCTACGAACTGATAGGAATGATTTTAAATAAATAATCTTTACAGTTTTGTTTCATTCTTAAAAATTCATCTCATTTTGCATTTGATTGGAGTTGAATCAACCAGCAGTTTTATGTAAAAACTAAAAGATGAGACATTACAGCCATTATAAAACCCAGTTTAACTCAGACTTGAACCCCATCGGCTCACTTCACCGTCTCATGTTGGTCTTTGTGAGAACTGTTTCATTGAGAAAATATAAAAACATAAAAATGAAGCAGGTTTTAGGATCAGTTTGCTTTTAACATSTCTAAGGCTGTCAGACKCAACTTAATTAATTTTAACATTAAYACAGCTGGTCACATGTTGATCCAAGAACCAGGCAAACATTTCCACCTTTATAAACATAAATACTTTTTCCTACAGTACTTGTGTTAAAATGAACAAAAGCAGATTTCTATAGTTTTCATAGAATGGTATTACTGGTATAACTGCTGCACATTCACTTTGTCCAACTCCTGTGACAAAAACTGTTTTTGTCACACTGCACAGCTTTGTTGGTTTTCACGTAGGTGCTTTATTCACAGTTAGTCGTCGTGAATTCTGAGCGGAGCAGCGTGACATATTAATCTAACTGGAAACAGATTTCTATAAATGTGTCATATATTTGACCTCCGTCGGTGTGTTTAATGTCCYGATGGGAACGAGTGCAAACAGTCCAGAGGAGCAAGGTTTCCCTCTGCCCTCTGAGGGTAATATACAGCAGACATGATGAGCAGCGCCACCTGCTGCCCTCTGGATCAGTCTGAGTTCACCCCCAGCTCAGAGGACCTGCTCGGTGCTGGAGGCGGAGATGTCCAGCAGCCTCCACGCTGCATTGGGGTTCAGCTCCTCCTGGTCTCGGCACAAGGCCCAGACGTACGTCATCCTCATCACTTTATCCTGTTAAGAGAGGAGAGAAAGAAAAGGTCAGATCAATGAGGACTAAACGGCTCTTCTTTGTTTTAGTATCAACTGTTTTAGATATTTTTCACACATTTAAAATTTATAAACAATTTCAGTGAAATCCTAGTAAAYAATCCATCTGTGCAGAATCTGACCGGATCTCCCTCCACGATGTCTCCTTTGGGACCGTGGATCACCATGACAACCTGAGCCTGGAAGGTGATGATCAGCACCGGGCCCTGGTCCATCATCTTCCCCATTGCTAGCTACAAGGCAGGAAGAGACGACACAAAGAGCTGTGATTAGAAAACAGATCATCAACTCTGCTTTCATTCAGTAAAACTTAAAATAACTATTGTTGTGTGTTTTCGTTCAGTAAAACTTAAAATAACTATTGTTGTGTGTTTTCATTCAGTAAAACTTAAAATAATTATTGTTGTGTGTTTTTCAAAGTTACACATTTCAACAAGACTTATCCTTTGATGACTTGACAGTTAGATCCAAGTCTAAACCTGTTTCATTGAACCTGATCTGTGAATGGACTACTACAGACAGTAAACCCAAAACCAATTAAAGAACACATTTGATTATTTTTCATGGATTATCATTTTAAAACAGATCATTTTCAAATAAAAAGAAATGAGTGAGAGTGGAAGAACTCACATCTACGTTATCAACATCAAGGACTTTAGACTGAAAGAGAAGCCCCAGAGCCTTGGCCTGCTGGATCGGGTGCGCCAGCTGACTGTAAGTCTGAAAATAAGTGCATAAGAACAAACCTTGATGGAAACATTACATTTTGCACATGATGCACAACAGCAGATGAATAACCAGTTCTGTGGGAGGGTTTCTGTGTCTGAATAGATGATTGTGTAGAGAAAGAGGAGTAAAAAGTTTTTCTGATAACAGATTTACATTTTTAATGAATATGTATGTAAAGAAGGTGATCCACTGGTTATATGTAGACCAGTCTATTGTGATTTAGGGCTTAAAATATTACAAACTGATATTTAAACGCTTGGTGAATCACTCACAGCCTCATAGCACCAGTCCTTTAACACGTCCAGCTCTCCACGAATCATAGCCTGCAGAGTGGACAGAGACCATCAACACTCTGTATCCTGACTGAGCAGAGGGAGCAYGATCAGTCAAACAGCTCTATAAGAGAAGATTGGCTTTGTTTACCTCCAGGATGTTAGGGATAATATCCTTCTCGCACTGTTTAAGAAAAGAGTCCTTGTCAAAATTGGGGTCAATCTTCGTAATTTCTGTCAAAACTTCAGACATTTCTGTCTTTGAGAAAAGTCCACCTAGAAACATACAACAGAATAAAACAATGAATCTACCATTTGAACAAAAAAAAACAAACAAACAATGAGCTTCTGTTATACGATTCCATTTCAATACAGAGAGATGTACTTTAACAATTAATGTGGTTAAAACAACAGCCAGAAGAAAAAATAAATAAATACCAATAAACAGGATGGAGAATTACCTAAAAAGTCCGTGACTTTGTCGGTCATGAATCGGGATGCTCTGACGAGCACGTTGTCGCTCTCATCATATTTCATCTTCATTGCAAATAAACCTGAAGGCAACAACAACAACAACAACAAAAAAAAAGAGAAAATCTTATTGTTTAAAACAAGTAAAATGCAGGTATCTTGTGATAATATTTTAAGCCGGTAGCTTTGCAGCAGAAACACTGATTATTGTAGTTGAACATCTAACGTCTGCACTTTTTTTTCCTTGTAAACAATCTGCTGCCACCTGCTGCTTTTAAATGGAAGTTCATGAAATCTATAATGTTAGCTGTTTAYGATTTAAAACGAAATCCACAATGTCTGAATGAATAAACCAACTTACTGTTAAAAACTGCATTATTGTCCTTAAAGTCCTTCCACTGCTGGTACCACTTTGAGTCTTTATGCAGAATGACACCCATAGCCACTCTACATCACAAACCATAAAGAAAAACAAAGGAAATTGTTGACATTTGAGGGAAGGACAGTTCAAACTAAAATGTGTTTATTGGTACATTTCCCACATAGGGAGTGAAAACAACCGTTTCTTACTCGTTGGCTTCAAACACCCGGGTGTCGCAGTCGGCAGTTTTGAAGGCGAAGTCGCTCCTCATCCTCAGCTGAGCGGGGGCTCTGTAAGCGCCGGCATCTCCGACATCTATCTCCTTCTTCATGGATTCCACACCCTGCAGAGTTCAGTCACAATAACAGTACAAATATAGGTTTGCAAACACAAATGATTAGCAGCCTGTTTGTTAGACTCAGTTTATTTTGTGTGGTTTTTTTTTTCACAGTTCTGGGACTAAATTTAAATGAGAATCTGCTAAGTATGGACAATCTTTATGTTTTTATGGAAACCATTAGAAGTGCTGAGGAGAATGAACATGAAAAACACTTGAAAGTCTGTTACTGATCCTATTTAACAGCAGACAAGGCAGGAGCTTAAATCCAGTTGACAAAAAAGTATGCCATTTGAGATTCTGATCATTTTCAGCCTGACTCTTATGAACCAGATGTTTTCTGACCTGGGAGATGGTCCTGAACGCGTTGGTTTGGCCCAGTTTTTCTCCACCCTTTGACACAGACTCAGCAGAGTGCTTGGCCGTCCTGGCTGCTTCTTCCACACCTTCCTTGATCTTCCTCCCAATGTTGGTACGACTCACCTCCTCAAGACTCTTTAGCAGAGAAACAAAATAACTGGTAAGGATTAAAACAACTACAAGTAAATTATGATGAAAACAAAACCCAATATGAGAAGAATCAATCAGGTTTAGTTTCTGATTATTTACAGTTATATTTTGTGAACTTTTAACATCTTACCTCTTTGACAGTCTCTGACAGAGAGCCCAATGTCTTCTTAAACACCTCTGATGTCTTTGCTGTCTCAGCCTCTATAGATTTCTAAGAAAAAAAAAGAGGTTCTGTCATCATTCAAAATGTATACATGCCTACCAAATTAAYTAAAACGTATCAACTATGATGAAAACCTACTGAGACTAGAAGTGGTAAAACATCCTTACATATTTCCTACGGGCCTGCTGAAGGGCATCAGAGTCCTCCAGCCTCCTGGCCTCTTCTCTAAACTTCTTGATGTTTTCCTTCATCTCCTGGTTCTTACTGAACTCCTGACGGAGATTATCAACAAACTCCCCCAGGAAACCTTTCTGTCCTGAAGCATATCGGACCTAAAACAAACCAACAGACAAATCTGCCGCTCGGTCTCTTGACATATCCAGTGAGTGATTCTGTGATAAATGGGAGAAGTTGTACCTGTACAGCTGCAGCTGGGCTCCTGTGTAACCTGTAAGCGTCTCCTCTCCACGGCGTAGAGACCACAGACCGAGCGCAGAGCGCCACAGTGTTTCTGCCAATCAACTGCAAATCAGAAACAATGTAACTCAGACACAATCAGAGCTGTTACAGGTTATATCCAAATGCTGTGGGTGTACACACAGCTTGTTCTGTATTAGTCTAAAAATGTTTCTGTGCTGCTGTAAGCTCCRTCCAGTCCACCTCAGTTTGGTCTCTAAMTTTATCTTCCAGTCATTTAAACTGTGTTGTACTCTGATTCTTATCCATTCTTGTCACTTAATTTGGTAGGGATGTTGACATTTCGTCAGCAGCTGCTGCCATTTTCTTCCCAAACTGCTGTGACCAGATTTCGCGAGGCTGCTCGGTGCGTTTGCTTATTTMCTCCTGCTTCGTTATTTCCACGAGTTTCAACAAACCGCGCTGACATCAGGTAGTTAGCTACAGCCTCGTCTTCGAGTTTTTAATTTTTGTTGATGCGTTTTGAAGAGAYAAATTTTTGAAAATAGGATAAAAGTAAATCACCCGAGTTTTTCTAGTGACGCCTTAAAGAGATAAGCTGCCATGAAGAACATTATTTTATCTGCCTTGTTCCAAATTTGATAATGATTTGAAACGTTGAAGTGTGTTTTTTTAAATCTGGAGTAGCACTTGTTAGCAAAGTGAGCTGACGCTTGTCTTTGCCACTTGACACATTTAAGACACTATCATTGGTTGAGGAGCTTTGTTTACAAAACAGACGTCCACATGGTTTTTAAATTGTTTTACCGTATTTGTTCATGTATAATACAATCTTGAGTGGAGTATAATGCAATCATTTTTTGAGCTTACAAAGCATAAAAATCTAATTATCAATACTATCCCCCCCACTTTATGGATGATTTTTAGGGTTAAATTTCTAGTATTATACATGAATAAATACAGTAATTTCCTTGCTTTCTAAGACACATTAAGTTGATTTAATGCTGCAGTTTGCCTTGTAAAACTATTTTATAATAGAATAGAACAGAAACAGCCTTTATTGTCCCACCTGGGGAAATTCAGGTGTAGTAGCAGCAGCAGCAGATACATATATCAATCCACAGAAACAGTGTATTGCTATGTGATATTATCAGTTGTAGCAAATAATAGTAGAATTAAAGATAGTAACAGTAAAAAAAACATACATCAAAATAAAAGTAAGAATAATCATTACTGTAACAGGCTACCAAGATGAAATTGGATAAAATGAAAATAAGGCAAGATACTGTGCAGAAACATAAAAATTACAGAAAGAAAAAAACAGTCACGACAAACTCGTGATCCGAGAGAGGTGTGCGAATTGATTCAAACTCTGTCATTAAGTTTAGTTTATACTTTTTCTGCTACTTTTGCATCAGCAATTATCAGGTTTTCTTAGTTTTTAGGATACAAGATGCTTCCTACAAAAACCAGAATGTGAATCAAAAAGAAAAAAATTGTATAGGTCTTCTGGACGGGTTCTTCTTTAATGAAACATATCGTCTCTTCTCCAAGAGACTTCTGCAGTCTGAGAGTTTCAGGCAAAATTCAGGCTTTTTTTCAGGCTCTCAGACTGAAGAAGTCTCTTGGAGGAGAGACGAAACGTTTCTTAAAAAGGAGAACCCGTCCAGAAGACCTACACAATTTTTTTCTTTTAGATTTTTTACCTGGACTACTGAGATGCATCAGGACAGAATGTGAATYTTTTCCTAAAAATTCCATGGCGATATCTTGAACGTTAAGGAAGTTATGAGGAAAAAAACAAATAACCAGGTGAAATGGTCACAAAGGCCCCATTGGTTCTGCTGTGAACTGCAGCAAGAAAACAAGAGCTGATTTCACCTAAACAAACAACAACAACTTCCCTCATACCTGAGATAATCACATGATTTWGGTGTTATTTTGTATGGTTTATGATGTTCTTTTGGAATCCACTGTCAGRTTTAATATTGGTGTAGGATTAAAAAATGTATCCACATCCTTACAACAGAACTGGTCTCACTGCTCTCTTGTGAACCTTTGACCTTTGCTGCCACCCTGATGTCACAAATTACTTCTGAAACTTTTCTCCATCCAGCCTTTACTCACCTCTTTATCACACTCCCCGTTTTCCCCAAGTTCTGCACCTTTGTGACCTCTGCTTTCCCCTTCACTAATATTATATTCTTACACTCAGCACTTGACAAAATCCTTCAGTATCTTACAGTTCTCACAACTGATGCAACAAGAACAAGGCCTGTTCTCATCTCGCGCTTTGTCAGCCTAAAACTAAACCAATAAGCATATACATGTATCTGCACACAACCAAACTGGATATAAAGCTGTGGAAGTACATTTCTATCATTTATTGAAGCGCTTCATCCCTTAGAGCGGTAACGAAGGACTGAATGGTTGACTCACCTCGTAACACCGACATACAGAGGCTGCCATCTTGATCTTGGAATGAAGCACGTGCTTCCTGGGTACGCCCTCACAGAGACAGCTGATGACGTATTTGACCAATGGGAGAGCAGAACGGAAAAGAAGTCAGGCGCTGTCACGTGACTTTAGAGTGCTAAACACGACGCCATGTTGAAGGAGTCAATCCCCATACATTCTGGCATAACCATCAGACAGAACACCATTGTGCAGGCGTTTGCTTGCAACAATCATGCAGGAAAATGCTCGGACATTGTAACATTATATCGGTAAGTTTTTTTTGTAATAATAAGGCTGTATTTAGCAGTGTTTATTGTCAGAAGAATCAACCAGTACTAACGAAAAATAGATCAGCTGCATGGATTATCTCACTGCTGGAGGCCTGTCATTAAAATCTAGGCAGAAATGGGGAGAAACTTGTGTCATTAGAAAATGAATTTGAATGACAAGATTGAATCTGTATTTGTATAATTTGAAATTGAATAATTGGTTTGAAAATGCATTTCACTAAATGAAACTGAATTTAATCGTTTCTGAATTACTTTGCTTTGAAACTGTATTTTGTTATATTAAAAATTCAATTAGACTTATTTCACTTTTAGTTCTTTAATTCAATTTAAGTTCCAAAAGTTTTCGTGTCACACACCTGTATCCTTGAGAAAACCAGCATCATCCGCTCACAGCTTTTAAATCTGCTGCCATTACCTCCCGTCATCAAGAAACACAGTCTTGACCCTACTAACTTCAGTAATCTTCATCCTATCTCTAATCTGCCTTATATTTCCAAAGTTCTCATTGCTAGTCAACTTCACTCTCAACTATCCAACAATAACCTTTATGAAGAGTTTCAATCTGTTTCGTAATTATCTCAGTTTTATAGCATCGTWCACTGTGTTGTTATGGCAATATTCTATACCCTGCCGACAACGCCAAAAAACTGTGGTGGCACGATTTACCAAGAATGCAGAAACACGTTGGAATAAATGCACAGAAAGTCCGCGTGTATGGTTGTCAAATGATTTAATTTGAGCAACAACAGTGTCAAAGACAATGGCATTTAGACCACCTTACCCTAATGATTTAACAACACTGTTTTTCCTATTATAATGATGTCTATTCCTCCAAATAAAGTTACATTTTTTTGAGTGATTCATTTAATTGTCTTCTGAAGTATATATAAAGAACATGTGGGGTAAATATTTCTCGAGAAACCTTCAGTTTTAGATAAGAGRATTCTGTCAAGAAATTGAGAGACCTCTCTCCAAGCAAATATTCAGCTTGGCTTTCTTGAGTACGTTACTGCAGTGGTTCCCAAACTTTTTATCTTCTGACCCACAAAATATCCATGGCAAAAACTTGTGACCCCAAATATTACTGGTCTGGGTATACGAACTTCATTAATAACCCTAAAAACACAGGCTTTTTAACAAGCTAAACAGCTTATACACAAATATAAATACTTATTTATACTTATTTTATGTTTTTGTAATAATTATAGGGAAAATATTACATCAGAAATTATTTTATTACCCTTTAAATTGATTTCTGGAGATTATCCAAGGTGCTTCATGACCCATAATTGGGTCCCAAGCCCAACTTTGGGAACCAAAGTGCAGTGGTTCCCAAACTTTTCAGCTTTTGACCCACAAAATAACAGTAGCAGAGACCTGTGCCCCCAGCTATTTTTGAATGATAAACATTTGTATCAGGTCAACAAAACATGGGCATAGTAACAATATTTTTATACTACATTTATCCATTTTCAATACACTAACCTCACTCCTTTGTAACAACTAAGGCAAAAATGTAATTAATTCAGAAAATCTTTTCAGGACCCCCCACCTTGACGTTTCGGGACCCCACTTTGGGTCCCGACCCCAACTTTGGGAAACAATGCGTTACTGTATCTTCCCACCTCTGCTGACTGAGGAGGGAGCAGATGATTGGCAGGTATGTGCTGATGGCATGCGCGCGCAGAGCGCCCTCGTGCGGCAGGTATGTGACGCGCAGGGACTCCTCCCCTCCCTCTGCAGAGTTTTGGGAGCTCTCCCTTTCTGCGAACAGCAGCAGCAGCAGCAGCAGCAGCTCGCCTTCTTTGACAGCCGACACACTGGCGCAGAGTCCGAGCACAAATCTTTAAACATTTGTAAATATTTTTTCGGGCATAAAGCGAGAATTCAGAGCGACACCTTCTACTCATCCTCTTCCGGAGCAAAGCGCTGGAGCGGCGGCCTCGTCTAGAATGGGGAACCGAGACGACGAATACGATTTCTTATTCAAAGGTAAAAAATAAAATAAAATAAAATAATAAATAAAAAGAGAGAGAGAGAGAGAGACAAGACAAGGGACAAATAAAAAAGATTCCCCGCTATATAGTCAAAGCTTTGTTCCACAGATGAATCTGTGTGTGTGTTTGTCTCCGAGCAGCTGTGTGTTTTTGAAGGAAACAGGGTGTTTTCCTCTCAGCCTGCCCGGATGATTATAGTCGCTTCTGATCCTAACACAATGCTGGAACACAGCGCCTGCAGCTGCATTTATAGGCTAAGAATGCGCAACCATATCCGCGTTCAGCCCTTTATTAAACTTTCATCAACTTATAGAGAAGATCTGTTCTGTTTTATTTGATGTTTGTCCTCTGGAGATTAATCAAAGGCCTTGATTAGCCTACCTGCTCCTGATCAGTGAGCTTCATCATCACTGCAGCCCTGGACTTCTTCTGTTTTTTTTTTTTTTTTTTTTTTTTTTTTTTTGTGTTTTCTGACTATCAATAAACCTGCTAAAGAACCCAGATGCTTGTCTGGGACCAGAATGGCTCCTTTGATCCTGATATCAGCTCCTGTGGCACATTAACATCCCAGGCTTGTGACAACTCAAAGGCCATTTAGATGTAACAAAGTATCCTCTGTGGGATGAATGGAGCATCTGCCGGAGGCGAGGGATCTCTGCCTCTCTACCTCCTCCATCCATCCATCCCTCTCTGGTTTCTCTCTCTCTCTCTTTGCCTGTCCCAAACAGGAAGGCCCCCTGAAACTGTCGATTCAGGTCCTGATGAGGCGTGTTATCAGCTTCCTGCAGCCCGGACCAGCCGGTGCCGACAGCAGGACAAAAGCAAAAGTTCGGCTCGGTTTCCTTTAGCTGAGAAAGAAAGGAAAACAGAAAGGCTCCACCTCTCTCCTGACACTTTGCCCCAAAGACTCATTCCTACTACAGCTTAAAACAATGGGCCTGCTCGTGATCAAGTTATTTTTACACTTACTAATCAGAATGAACCCAATTTCACTCAGCTGCGGTTCCTTTAATGGACTCATGAAAATGTCAGAGGCTGATTTATTTCTTTCAGTAACTTTTCTATAGTTTATCTTAGGCTATGCCTTGATGATCAGGCTGCATTTTTTATTTTCTCAAATTTAACATCAAATAGAGAGTATTTTCTGTGAAAATACACTGACAATGCTGAGTTCTGAGTGATTAATTATATTGACTAGCCTACCASATTTCTCTTAGTGACAAAAATGTTTCTGATGCTTTATGCATTGGTGGTTCCTCAGAGAACAACAAAACATTCCTCGTGAAGAGATCAACTAATTTGTGTCCGGATGGTTTCAGGGAAGGCTGCTCTCTTGTGTTCTTAAGACTCAGGGTCTGTGATTGATTATAAATCTGAAAAGGATTCATTTTAGGGCACTTAAGTTATAAAAAAAGAGCTTAAACTCCTAAAAATGTTCCCATCTTTATAAATATTTTGTAATGTACACACGCTCCAAATTACGCAAAGCATGTTTTCCTCTGATGTTATTAAATAGCTGATGTAAATGACAGCATAATTTTCAAGTCATCAGCTGTTAAAGTATAATTCAAATGTTACTGCAAAAAAAAAAACAAGGTTGTAAAGAACTGAAAATGGTAATTTGTTGAATTTGCAGCAGTAGTTTACTGAAACTGAAAGTTATTTCAATCAAAAACATCTTCACAAGTCAAACTGCATAATAATTTTGAACTCAGTGKAATTGGTTCAGTTTATAGAAAAACAGTCCAGGACCTGTCTCTCGCTGCACACACACTTTGCGCACACCAAGGAATGCAAAATCCTGCATGTCATTTTTAGTAATTATGCTTAAACGTACATATATGAGACTGTAAATATTTAATTCAGGTTAAAACTACCTAAAGACAACAAGAGAGTTGCATCTGTCTACTTAACCAGTTAATTTCTATTGTGTTTGAGCAAATTATGTCATTTTATGGGGGGGGGGGGGGGTATTTAGACTTGATCAAATGAACCCCTCTGCAAATTACACCTATGGCGCACACGTCTTCATCCACTTGTCTTTCCCTCCACAGTCGTGTTAATCGGAGACTCGGGCGTAGGAAAGAGCAACCTGCTCTCTCGATTCACACGGAACGAGTTCAACCTCGAGAGCAAAAGCACCATCGGCGTGGAGTTCGCCACACGCAGCATTCAGGTGGACGGCAAGATGATAAAGGCCCAGATCTGGGACACGGCAGGACAGGAGCGCTACAGAGCCATCACGTCAGCGTGAGTCTGTCCTTCATAAACCCGCTCATCATGTGAAACCTTCACCTGGACCGTCACACAGTGTCACTCCATCCTTAAGACTGAAATATTTTAAAAAACAATTCACATTTTGAAGGTTTTTGGCAACAAATATAAAGTTTTTGTTAAGTTAGCTGTCCCAAGAAAATGGCTGCACTTAAAATGTTCTACGATAAACTACAAAGGTTAAAATAAACAGTCCTTTAAACCTCTCCATGAGGGTGATTTTGTAGACGTTTATACAGCGGGTAAAATAAGTATTGAACAAGTCACCATTTTTCTCAGTAAATATATTACTAGAGGTGCTAATGACATGAAATTTTCATCAGATGTCGGTAACAACCCAAGTGATCCATACATACAAAGAAATCAAACCATAAATGTCCAGAAATKAAGTTATTTGTAATAATGTGGAATGGCACAGGGAAAAGGTATTGAACACATGAAGAAAGGGAGGTGTAAAAAGGCATGGAAAGCCAAGACACCAGCTGAACTCTCTCAGTAATTAGAAAGCAAGCCTGCCCCTTGTCAGTGCAAACTAATATCAGCTGGTTCAGTCCCAAATGATGGCCAGGTGTCACACAAGAAACATCTGATGATGGGTAAAAGTAAAGAGCTCTCTCAAGACCTTCACAACCTTATTGTTGCAAAGCATAATGATGGCATCGGTTACAGAAGAATGTCTAAACTTCTGAAGGTTCCAGTGAGCACTGTTGGGGCCATAATTCAGAAGTGGAAAGAACATTATTTCACCATAAACCGACCACGACCAGGTGCTCCTCACAAGATTTCTGACAGAGGAGTGAAAAGAATTATCAGAAGAGTTGTCCAAGAGCCAAGGACCACTTGTGGAGAGCTTCAGAAAGATCTGGAATTAGCAGGTATGATTGTTTCAAAGAAAACAATAAGTAATGCACTGAACCACCATGGCCTGTATGCACGCTCACCAYGCAAGACTCCACTGCTGAAGAAACAGCATGTTGAAGCTCCTTTAAAGTTTGCTGCACAACATTTAAACAAGCCTATGTAATACTGGGAGAATATAGACTGGTCAGATGAGACCAACATTGAACTGTTTGGATGCCAGAATACACATCATGTTTGGAGGTCAAATGGCACTGCACATCAGCCCAAAAACACCATACCAACAGTGAAGTTTGGAGGTGGGAACATCATGGTGTGGGGCTGTTTTTCAGCATATGGTACTGGCAAACTTCAAATAATTGAAGGAAGGATGAGTGGAAAAATGTACAGAGACATTCTTGATAAAAATCTGCTTCCATCTACCAGGATGATGAAGATGAAACGTGGCTGGACATTTCAGCAAGACAATGAGCCCAAACACAAAGCCAAGGAAACTCTCAGTTGGTTTCAGAGAAAGAAACTAAAGCTGCTGGAATGGCCCAGCCAATCACCTGACCTGAATCCAACAGRAAATCTATGGAAAGAACTAAAGATCAGAGTTCATAGAAGAGGTCCACGAAACCTTCAAGATTTGAAGACTGTTTGTGTGGAAGAATGGGCCAAAATCCCACCTGAGCAATGCATGCCTCTAGTTTCTCCATACAGGAGGCATCTTGAAGCTGTCATTGACAACAAAAGCTTTTGTACAAAGTATTAGATAAATTTCAGTAAGTGTGTTCAAATACTTTTTCCCTGTGCCCTTCCACATTATTACAAATAACTTAATTTCTGAACATTTATCGTTTGATTTCTTTATGTATGTATGGATCACTTGGGTTGTTACCGACATCTGGTGAAAATTTCATGTCATTAGCTCCTCTAGTAACATATTTACTGAGAAAAATGGTGACGTGTTCAATTCTTATTTTACCCGCTGTAATATTTACCCACAGCACTTAATCTGTAGAAGCAAGCAATGTGTCAAAACTAAAATACTGCATAAGTTAAAATTTTAGGTTTTATGCATCTGGACTCAAAGCAGAATTCACAAAAAAAAAAAAGAATAGATTTTAGCAAAGTTCTGCTCATTAAATGCATTGTTTAAAACTGATCATCAAGTGAGTACACGAAAGCAGAAGTTTAGCTGTTTTGCTGGTTTGGAGTATTCAGGTGTGATTTAACACAATGGTATGGAGGAAATACATGAGCAACCATCACAGAAAACCAATTGTTCCTGTCCACAAAGCTGGTTCTGTTATTTTACTGCGAAAGGTTAGGTACAGTTGGAGGACAATATTCAAACGTTCCAAGACCGGATGTCYCATCAAGTTCACCCTGAGGTCAGAGCGCACAATGCTCAGAGAAACGATGAAACTTTAAGAGCCATGGTCTCAGACTTTGAGGAGCTCAGACTAATAACCTGACCATAATCTCCTTGGTATATTATTACAGTAAGATGTTTCAGTGTCAAACGTGAAACTCTTTGTCGAACAGTTGAAATTGGTTTAAGTCAGAATCTGAATTACTGGAAAAGAAAAAAAAGTGAAGGCAATGAGCGTTGCAATTATCAAGATATACTGTATTATAACTAGAGACAGGATCAGAGGCCTGAAGGTGATAAACTATCTGAACAGTTTTTAAGTCCCACCCTCAATGTAAACATTTTCATAACTAAAAAATGAATGAATGAATGAATTAAAAAATAAATAAATAAATAAATAAATTGAATATTTTTATTCTAGTGCCAATTTTTGTTGAATTGGGTAATTCTAGCATTGCTGCTGTATCTATAAATTTTCATCAGTTTAGTTTTAATAGTTTTTTGAATTTTATACTGTGATTGATAATATGACAGCCTGTCAGTGAGCTTTGAGGATTTGTAGGCGGGACTTGTAATGAGTGCTCAGATGCTCCTTCCCAAAAACACAACATGGCAGCATTCCAATAATAGTTGACATTTTGACTTAAATCTAATAATTGATAAAAGGCTGAGATTTTTTGTTTGTCTTTATTGATGTCAAAGGTTAAAGTGGTTCTGGGTCCACACCTCAACACAAATGATGAAAAAAAAAACCAAACACCTGTAACAAAAGAGTGGGTTTTCTATAACTGTTACAGACTGATAAGATCATACAGAAGATGATTACTTTAAATACTAGACAGTTTATGCATTACTTCTTCTGAGCATTTATAAATAAGTAATCCATCCATCCATCCATTTTCTTCCGCCTATMCGGGGTCGGGTCGCGGGGGCAGCAGCTTCAGAAGGGAGGCCCAGACCTCCCTCTCCCCAGCCACTTCTTCCAGCTCCTCCGGGGGAACTCCAAGGCGTTCCCAGGCCAGCCGAGAGACATAGTCCCTCCAGCGTGTCCTGGGTCTTCCTCGGGGCCTCCTCCCGGTGGGACGTGCCCGGAATACCTCACCAGGGAGGCGTCCAGGAGGCATCTTTACCAGATGCCCGAGCCACCTCAACTGGCTCCTCTGGACGTGGAGGAGCAGCGGCTCTACTCTGAGTCCCTCCCGGATGACTGAGCTTCTCACCCTATCTCTAAGGGAGAGACCAGCCACCCTGCGGAGGAAACCCATTTCGGCCGCTTGTATCCGGGACCTCGTTCTTTCGGTCATGACCCAAAGCTCATGACCATAGATGAGGGTAGGAAAATAAGTAATAACACAGTAAAATATGTGCAATCTGCCTTTGCTCTTCTTACAGATACTACAGAGGGGCGGTGGGGGCGCTGTTAGTGTACGACATAGCCAAACACCTGACCTACGAGAATGTGGAGCGCTGGCTGAAAGAGCTGAGAGACCACGCCGACAACAACATCGTCATCATGCTGGTGGGCAACAAAAGTGACCTGCGTCACCTCAGGGCCGTGCCCACAGATGAAGCCCGCGCCTTCGCAGGTACCGAAACCTCCACAAACACACGCTCAAGCTCTGACTGTTGGTGTAAGCTCACTGTGGACTGTATTCTATCTGTAAAGTGTTTATTTGAGTGTATGTTTAAAAAAGTTTCACTTTTGTTAATCCACAGAGAAGAACAATCTGTCGTTTATAGAAACATCAGCCTTGGACTCAACAAATGTTGAAGAAGCCTTCAAAAATATTCTTACAGGTACGGCTGCAAACAGAGACCACAGTGGTTACTGAGCTGCCATTTGGCAGGTTCTCCTCCACAAACTCTGCGTTTCTGTCCGACTCTTCCCCTCCTGCAGAACCTGAAGCAGCYGTTTTACATGTCTCAGTTCCTCATTCATGCGCTCGCTATCAAAGCTCTAATCGTGTTCATTTGCAGAAGTTTCAAACTTTAGAGACGATGAGATTCCAGTCAGATGAAAGTGACTTAACACAGTTGTTTTTATGACCAACTACAGAAACCATCTCTTATACAGGCAAACATACCGATCTGTTAGCTGTTCTGAGTTCAGGAAGTTTATATTCTGTATAAGATGGTATCCTCAGAACAACCAAACAATAGTTTAGACCACATATGTCAAACACAAGGCCCGTGGGCCAAATGTGACCCGTGGGTGACTCCCGTGTGGCCCGCTGGGGGGGTACCCCACCCCCCAACATTTTTTCATTTTATTTTTTTAACTTTACATGAAAATTGTTTCTTATATCAATGGTAAACTTTAAAATTATGATTAAATGCAACAAAATAAATTTAATAAAATAAATTAAATAAAGATAAATTTAATACATTCCTGTCCCTGAGCTGTTGGCTTTAAGTAACTGAGCAATTTAGTTGGATAGCACAGTATTAATGTCTGAAAATGAGCTGTTTAAAGTCAGCATCAACCATAAACTAAATATTATTTCTGTATTTATTACAGATTTAGTCAGTTATACACTTAGTTCCTATCAGTGTTTAAAAGAAGACGTGTTAAGACACTGTTTAGTCAAAGTTAAACATGAAACGTCAAAGTTCATTACAAGTGGCCCTTCGAGGGCCACCATAACGCTCACGTGGCCCTCGGTCACAATGAGTTTGACACCCCTGGTTTAGACCTTTTGAGCCGTGGTTCTGTTTTTAATAATTAACATCTTACCTGTTGTAATAGCTTGTTCAATGACCTCAGTTTGGAGAAATATGAGTTTAGTTTGAATTGAAAAAGCCTCCTGGATGCTTCAACTTTAGAATTGAAAGTCCAGTTGTTGTTATTTTTTTTACTCTTTTTTATGAGTTTAGTTCTGAGCCTGAGTGACAAGCTAATGGCTGTTTAGAGTGGGGGCTTGGCCAAAGTAGATTGTTGCTGTTTTGCTATTTATAAGTCTACATTATCATGTATTTGTAAAAGTTTAAAAAGCAGTAGCAGCAGCTAGCTGTATCACTTCCAATGACAGCTGGTATACCTGTATATTATGTCATATTTCTTTTAACATAACAGTGTAATTTAAAACTGATATTAACATAAAAGTTTGTTAAAAATGTTCTTAATTAAACAGTTTCTTCAAACTGAGGTTGTTCAATGAGCTATCTACAACAGGTAAGATATTATTTGTTCACAATGTTTCTGCAGAACTTCACTTCAAAAGGTGTGTGTTGAAGCATTTACCCCCATCACTGTAAAATTCACAGTTTAAATAAATCCACGTGAAGCTGAGAAGATAATTCTGGCCAGTAAATAATATTTTTATGTTGCAGAATCGTAACTTTCCCATCACAGTTAGCCTATCCTGTTGGGTTTTAGCAGCATGCCATTGGAGAGTATTCTGACATTGTTGGGGTAATTTAGCTCTTTAGTGTTGCTGAGAAATGTTTTTAAATGTAAACTAGACTCATGAAAAGTGAACTATAACCACTTTAATTCCGTCAGATTACAGCTTCATAAGTATACGTTCATAAACCAACTGTTTGGTAAAGATTTTCCCACCATTTAAAAGTGAAGGTGGACGAWATTGTTTTTGCCTGTGTCTGTTTAATAACATAATTTTACAGGATCCAACAGACAAATTCTAATATAATTTGCTGAAATTAATAATTGGATGTACGTCTACAACTGATTAACTTTTAGCTATATGAAGTTAATGGACTGCTGATTTTAAAACACAAAATTGTCTGAGATTCACCCGAAACATGATTTTGAGGGCTAACATATTGCACAAGAGACTTGTTCAAAATTTCCTCATTTAGAATTAACTTTGCTTGTTAGCAAAATTTCTCATGAATCTCTTGGATGATAAACCTTTTGGGATTATTTTAAGATATTTAACAAGGGTTAATGATTAGGCCTTTAATTTTGTTTACATATCCCTGTCTTACAAAACTTACAGACTCATTTTAAGCCTATTTTTTAAGATAACAATTTAATCAATGGTAGTGAAGTAAGCAAGAGGCTGAGACTTGGTAATTCTAATTGTTTTTTAACTCGGGTATCATTTTTATGATCCTAAATTTTAGAATTGCAACTGTAACTTCCTCCTACAAAGACAATTTCCCTTTTCGGCTGGGTTATTTCATCTTTTTAGATACTATAAGGTTGGAGAAAGTTATCCTGTTAGGGATTATTTTGAGAGAATGATCACGTTCTTTCTCTTTTATCTCTTCAAAAACAGAAATATATCGCATTGTATCGCAAAAGCAGATTGCTGAGCGGTCCGCCCACGACGAGTCCCCGGGAAACAACGTTGTGGACATCAGCGTTCCGCCCACCATGGACGGCCAGAGGGGAAGCAAACTGCAGTGCTGTCAGAACCTGTAATCCATGGCAACGTTCCCTCACCTGGGTTAATTATTAGTTGAAATCCACAGTGTTGAAATGGTTTCATCTGTCCCCGAGAGCAACATTATCTGAATCTGCACTTTTTAAATCTGTGGAGTCAGTTCTGTAATGCCACAAATGATCAATCCCAGAGAGAAGAAGAGTTGGATTTTGAGTTTTAATCTGACCCAGGTACAGTCAGCTACATTCTGGTGCAAAAACAGGACTGAGGGTACAACATGAGCTGCTACTACTGTTAGCTAACCATGGCAGTGTAGCAGAATAGCCTTGTCGGAGACCTTGAAAGTCTGGACATTTCTTTGGTAATTGCCACAAACTTGGAGCGGACTGGGTTGTAAAGCCTGCCGCTTCAGTTCGTATCTGCAGTCCTGTTTTTGGGCTTCTCTCTGCCTACTTCAGTCATCATCTCTAAAAAAGAATTGTTGTGATGCTGCTGACGCTTAGTTCGTTTTGTGTAAAATATATTCTTTGTTTTGATAGCTTGTCTGCTCACATACATTATATTAATGCCATGAAAATAAATTTTACAATATTTTGCTGTCTTGATTTATTTAAGCAATTTATAAATGGTAAATGGCTTCAACATATAGTGTTTTATCAAGTCCCTCTGGACTCCAAAGTGCTTTACACTTCAATATTCACCCACGCTGATGATGATAAGCTACAATGTGGCCACAGCTGCCCTGGGCCACACTGACGGGGGCGGGGCTATCATGCACCAGTGCCACAGGAACACTCTGACCACCATCAGTGGGCAAGGTGGGTGAAGTGTCTTGCTCAAGGACATAATGACTGAGGCGGCTGGAACGGGGGAAACGATCCGGCAACCTACGGACAACAGGACGACCTCCCTAACCACTCCGCCACAGCCACCCCAATTTATAGTACACAAATGTGTTTAGTACTATTTTAGTCCATAAATTAGCGTATTAAATTAGAAGTAATTCTGTAAGCAAAGGAAAGAGTTGTCTCAGGAGGTTAGAAAGAAAATTATAGACGAGCATGTTAAAGGTTATAAGACCACCTCCAAGCAGCTTGATGTTTCTGTGACTACAGTTGCACATATTCAGAAATTTTGGATCCATGGGACTGTAGCCAACCTCCCTGGATTCACAGGAGGAAAATTGATGACAAATCAAAAAGTCGGATAATACAAATGGTAACAAAAGAGCCCAGAAAAACTTCTAAAAGAAATTAAAGGTAAACCTCAAGCTCAAGGAACATTAGTGTCCGATTGCACCATATGCCATTTGTTGAGTCAAAGTGGATTTAATGTGAGAAGAATAGAATAGCATTTATTGTCCCTCCGAGGGGAAAATATGTCACAGCAGCATCCATACAGAGGTTCACACACTAGCTACTTAAAAAAACTATAGATAGTACACAAAACAAAATTAACACTAACTAGCCATGACACAACTACTACTAATAAAAATATAATATAAAGAATTTTGCAAGAATAGGAAATGATATGTTTTGTTTTAGAGACAGACTATCAGAATCCGTCATTAGGAATTAGAAATTGCCTGTTTTCAGTGCAAAACAGTCTCAACAGACTAAAGTGAGATATCACAATGCAGACAAGAAACACAGATGTGCAATTACAGCAGAGTTTTTTAAGGTTTAAAATGGGTAATAACAGAGCAGCTGATTGCTTATATTAGTAATAATATAAGTGAGTAGTAGTGCAAATGATCCTTCAGTTGAGTAATTACAATGAATAGTAACAGTAAAAATGATTGTGCAGGCAGCAGGTGTGTAAACACTTATTGTGATCTTTGGGTGTGGTACTGGTTATAGAGTCTGACAGCTGCTGGGAGGAAGGATCTGCGGCAACGCTCTTTGGTGCACGTCGGATGCAGCAGTCTGTCACTGAAGGAGCTCTCCAGTTCAGCCACAGCTTCATGCATGCGGTGTGAGACATTGTTCATCAATGATGTTATTTTAGTCAGAGTTCTTCTGTCTCCCACTGCCTGCATGACCTAGGAGGACACCAAACATAAACAAGCCAGACTGGAGTTTGCCAAACTACATGTTGACAAGCCACAAAGCTTCAGGGAGAATGTCCTACAGACAGGTGAGACAAAAATGGAACATTTTAGCAAGGCACATCAGCTCTATGTTCACAGATGGAAAAAAGAAGCATATCAAGGAAAGCACACTGTCTCTGCTGTGAAACATGGAGGAGGCTCTGTTATATTCTAGAGCTGCTTTGCTGCATCTGGCACAGGGTGTCTTGAATAAGTGGAGGGTACAATGAAATCTCAAGACTATTAAGGGATTCTAGAGAGAAATGTGCTGCCCAGATTCAGAAAGCTTGGTCTCAGTTGAAGCTCGTGGGTCTTGCAACAGGACAATGACCAAAAAACAGCTAAAAACACCCAAGAATGGCTCAGAGGAAAACATTGGACAATTCTGAAGTGGATTTCAATGATCCTGACTTAAATCCTATCGAGCATCTTTGGAAGGAGCTGAAACAGGCTGTCTGGAAAAGGCACCCTTCAAACCTGAGACAATGGTACCATCATTTCTGTCCAGGCCTGTTTCAAAAGTTTTATTTAAAAAAAATTGACGCATCATAGTTGAAAACCAATGTCTGACTTTCATTTGTTACATTTTTATTGAAATGTTATGTCAGATTCAAATAATTTCTGTGACCATTGTGGGTTTCTCTTTCATTAAACAAGTGTTACCAACAATTTTGTCCCCGTGTGTAAATGAACAAATTGTTAATTTTGTCAATATGTCTTGTTTCTTCAAACTTTAATCATCCAATCCACCAAACGAGTTAATGGCAAAATAAACTGTTTGGCAATGGCAGAGAGTATTTGGCAAATATTTTATATGTGCAACCCACACACTCTGGTCTCCTGCTCATCCCACAAATGCATGTTCTTTACAAATGTAGTGGAACCATTAAAAAGGGACATTACCAGGCTTTCCAAGGGTATACATGTAAGATGTATTGCCAAGCTGCACTGTTACAACAAAGAAATAATCTACCAAACACAAAATTGCTTTACTTTTTGTTCTATAGTTCTTTATATGAAAAAATTATTTAAAAAAAAACTACTCAAATTTATAAAAGTCCCTACTGGCTGATCACATTGCTTACACATGCCCAAAAGCAACAACACTTCACAAGTCCAGGAGTCCCTCATGTTTTATTGCACAATAACCCAACTTTCCAGGGGATAAAGCAGGAAGAATACAGTAACACAAAAATACTTTTAGTGTACGCTTCATACATTGACATCTCAGAACATATTTTTTCCTCCCCTGCCAAACCGCTCTCAAACGTTTTTATGTTTCTCAGTCTCATCAATCTGAACACTGTTTCTCTCTCTTTTTTTTAATTGCATCTCTTGAGAGTTTAGGACATTACTACTGGTCATTGCTAGGCATCTCAGTTCATGAATGGKGTTTTTACATATGAGGTGAGGCTATCTGCTTATGCACATTTTATGCTGACAGAGGAGACATTATCCTTATTAGAATGTAAACACTTTATCTTCAGTACTTTGTCTTGTAGCCCCGACAAGTGCAGAGAATACTTGATGCCTCATCTGCTGTCTAAACAGGAACAGGGTTTTCATTTTCACTTTTCAGACAGCAATATAAAAGCTTTACCTGGAAAAACTAAAAGGTATAGACTACAGACAAAAAACAGTGGTAGGAGTGACAGTTGCTGTCTATTGTCAAAGAAAACAACAGTAGTACTCACAACTAGACTTTGTCATCTTTCGTAAATTTTTCAGTTAGTTTAACCATTGATCAAAACCAGTTAAGATACATTTTGGAAGGGGAGTGGGGAAATTATAGGTAGTGAATATGTTTTATATTATACTGTAGTAGCATGCTGAATCTGTTATATCCTGCTACATTAGCTTGTGTCTTAGTATTTCGTAAGTTCTTGTCGCTGACATTAAAAAATCCGGCTGGTTAGTCCATTTTCCATGTGTCCAGTCGTTCACATTCCAGCACTGACTGTCAGACGTTTCAGTTTTTATTAATACGACTCTGAAAGGAGTTCTTCCCAAAACCACTTTTGTTGTCAGCCAATATAATGTTTTATTTTATTTTTTTAAATCAAGTGCTTCAATAAAGAAAACGTGACGAGAAAGAAGCTCTTCTCTGTCAGGATGGTCCGTATGAAGTGCAAAAGTTCATTACGATGATTTCTTTTTAGTGAGTGCTCAGGAGAGCTTGGTTTTAAATACACTCCTACTCCAACCTGCTCTGCACTCATACGATGGTCTCATCAGTCATTTTCTTGGTCGACTTGGTCGGCACTGAACGCTGGGTGGTGTGGGCGCCCTTCATGTCGGGCATGAGCAGGCGCACTTTCTGATTGGTCCTCCTCCACTCAGAGTACAACTGACAGTGATACCGAAACGACACCTGAGATTGGAAGAAGACAGAAGATATTTCAGTGGTTGCAAAAAGGCTAATCATTCAAAATGTCTTAGTACTGCTATAAAGTTAGAAAAAATCACACAAACCATTGGACAAGGGTCGATAAAATATTTTTTAGTGAATTTATGTTTTTGTATTCCACTTAAATGTTTTTCTGTTTCTATTCCAACTACCTGCCCCGAGGACTACAGATGGATAACTGCAATTTTTACTAAAACCTGGTACAATAAATTACGATTATTATTATTGTTGCGTCCAATATGCACCATTGGTGTATGAATGTGATCTAAAGCACTGTTTAGACTCTATGTAATGATTTGTTAAAATTATCTTTGTAGAGATGTAATCAAGTATTGAATGTGTATGTGGATTGGTAAAAATTGTGTTGTTAAGCACTTTGAGTAGCTTGTTTGACTAGAAGCTAGGTGCTTTATAAATACACAAAAACAGGGTGTATATTTTACAAATATTGAGCTAAAGTTTGGTGTGCTGATAGTCATTCAGAACATATACTTAAAGTGCCAACAGATCATGCAAAAAACTATAATATTGCAAGAAACTGCATGTAATTTTATGTTCAGAGTTTGACGAAAACAGCTATACGTATCGTACATCGGTCCCTTATCAACATAACATGATCTTAGTTTAAAACTCTGGCATGGAAGGCAGAGGTATGAATTCCTTAATTCCTTCCTTCCTGTGCAAGGTCTTTAAGTTAAATTATCCATTTAATAACCATTAAAGTGTGTCTTTCTAAAGAAGAGTTTTGGTTCCAAATGCAGCCCAGTTTTAAAATACCATGCAGTTTAATCTTACAGCGATTTCAAGGAGCAATGCGTGTCTGTGCAGGCAGAAAGTTCCTGGAAAACATTCAGTCAAATAACTACTCAATGTAAAAGAACTTGTGCACAAGAGTAATCTGCCCTTCAGCTATTTTTATCATTTTAAAGTAAATTAAAGCAAAATACAAGAAAAAAATGTTCCAAGTCTATAGAGAAAAGAAAGAA